TGAAGCAGATCACCACCATGTCCGTGATTTATTGAAATATCTGCGTGTCTTTTTAGCTTTTACAAGGGATGGACTTAATATCAATAGACCTCTAAGCCACCGTCATTGGCAAGTCCTTGATCGGGCTAGTGAAAAAAAATCATTTTAAGCCTTTGTTAGCTAATTAAAGCAGTGTCAATACAGTAAGAGAACAGAGGAGTGCAAAAGTAAATAAATCAAGAGTTCAATCAAAAAAATATAAATTCTCCTATCTGATCTTTGGCATTGGGGGGTTTGCACCGCATGTCGTGTTTAATTTTTAAAGATGAGAAATGAGATTGTATTCCTATAACTGGTGACTTGACAGGAACCATTTTGTGTCACCAATTAACCCCTTTGATGTTGGCGTGAAGCTGCATTCACACACATCTCTCTGTCGAGGGGAGTACAGAATGTAGGTTTTTAACCCACATTCTTTTAACTGGCCGAACATCCCAAGTAGGAGGACCATCCAGCAAACGAGTTTAGAAAATTCAAGAAGGCTTTTGCGAGAAAATTAAGGACAATGATTACTCCAAATGGTGCCCAAGATAATGAGATTGGAAAAAAAATTGCATTTTCTCGGCTGCATTCAAAGCAGGCATAATAAATGGCATATGGTAATAATCAATGCTGTATGGAGTATTGATGTTTTAGGCATACTTTCTCATTTAGAGTAATCAAAATTGAGTGAATATCTCAATTAATTTCAGATGGAAAACATTGTGAAACGTGGCATTCTGCATTTAATAAAACATTTGTCCAAATCAGCCATTAACTTCCCATATATATTTTAAAAAAAGGTTATTTCCCTAATTAAACGTTTATTGCGCTATCGTCACAATGTCACCCGGTGAAGCATCCATTCTGAACCCTCGCAGAGTACTGCCTCACCACAAGTGTTAAGGAACAGAGATCCCTTGAGTTGACCACACACCCAGGGTCATATAACTGTTCCACACACCCTGCTGCAACGAAATGTTTTCTGGATGGCAGCCAAATTAAGTGAAAACTTAAATTGTCGTGCGATGACTTTCATGTGAAATTATCTTTGAGTCCTAGACGTAAGAACTCAGTTTAAATCCGTCTGGCTGAAACATGCATATTGAGCCGCGGATTTCAGCGGCGTGGGCTCAACGCCTTGAGCCATGACCAGTCTGGCCATCTCACACACCATGTCTTCTTAAAGGGGACATTCATTAACAGCACGATACATCAAATATATTTTTTCTATTATCTTCAAAGTTCTACTTGTTTTGGCATAAATGCAACCGCTGCATGAATATCTGCTGCCTTGCAAAAACAACTTGAAAACAAGACACGAAATGGTGCGGATGATTAATGTGGCCGCGCACTTGGTGTGGCATTGCTGTTAAGCATGGCAAATTAATTAATCTTATTATTATTTAAATCCTAATTAACACAATGTTTCAAGGTATGCTGTAACAACATGACGGTGCACGGATTACGTAATAATGTATTGCATGAGTGTATGGGGGCAGAGATTGAATGAAATGAGTTGTTTCCGAGCATACCTCCCCCTATTCCCAAAAAAACATTGAATTATGCACTTTAGAAGGAGATTAGAGAGGCAACACATTAAAATTGTGCAATGATAATGAATGTAGCTTGTGATGTCCAAATCCCACGTTTAGAAAACAAAGTGTATACAAGCCAAATAAATAGCTTTAGCCGTTTACACAGGGAGTCAAAGTCAAATCGACCAGGGCCTGACTCAAGTGTTGGCAGACGATTAAAATTAATCCAATATTTGGGGAAAAGGTGCCAACGTTTTGGCCTCAAAAAAAAAGAATCAACAAAGTCATTTTGTTCAGATTGTGAATTTGGCCGAGGTGGCTGGACGCTTCAGGAGTTGGAGTAACTGAGCCAACACTGCTGAGATCCTGGGATTGAACCTGGACAGCCACACGTTGTCAAATTATTTGGTGTTGCACTTTCTTTATCTGAAAATCTATCTCCAAGAACTTAGAAATGTTGGTTTGATTGGCAGGCGAGGAAAGTTCTTTGCATGGCGCGAGAAGGTGTGCGCTAGGTGTGGATAAAGAGGCCTACGGAAGTGACCTCAGAAGTAGTTCTGCGACATCAACTTCTGGAGCCATTCTTTGATGCAGAGTGAATGCAGTCTAAAATAAACATGCGTAGGATAGCTGAGAATGTGAAAAATATTAGATATTTTGATCGTAACATCTCACACATTTTACATTAAATATATCATGTGGTCCAACCGATTCCCTTGGCCTATGTGTCCGATCTCAAATGAGCATGGGATGGTGTTCATCTCCATCAACAGCCTGAGTTGTGTTGATAACGCAACATTTCAATGGAATGCAACTTCCCACTGAGATTGAAACTCGCAACCATTTGATTGAAAGTTGCACACTCGAACCACGGTGCAAACTAGCTGGTTGGAGATGGAGTAAGCTTGCACGATTTAACAACGTTCCTAATTGCCACAACTTGGTTAAAGTTGACTGAAATGGCATTGGCGGATTAAGATGGGGAAACCCCAATAAAAGTATCAGAGAGACGATTATCATTAAATTTCCAAAGTTAATCTAAGCAATGCACATTCAGAGATTCCTCGCTTCACATCGTCATCCTTTCACTCGTGAATCGTTCCTATTTCAGCAAAACTGTACAACAGAGGGCCCTGCCCCAGCTTCTCTCAAAATGGGGGGGGGGGGGGGGGGGGAGGGGTGCAATACAGTTATTGTGTGAGGGGCGGCGGGGGGGGCACCAACACAGTGGCGTGGAGCATAGCATGGACAAGGCTAGATTATTGCAACTCACTAACTCTACGGGACGTCTGACAACAATAAAAAAACAACTAACAAGCTGCAGTGTGTACAGAATTCCGTACCACGTGTCGTGACGTGGTACTGCAAGGTCCGACCGTGCCCGGCCAGTGCTCGCCGAGCTACATTGGCTTCCAGTTGCCGAGTGAATACATTGTAAGGTCGCACTAATTACACTCAAAGTGCGTGCCACAAATGAACCACAATGCCTTGCTGTTCTCGTCGAGGAGCATAAACCATCGCGTGAACTCCGGTGATCCTTGCAGCAGCAGCAGCAGCAGCTTCTGGCTAGCCATCGAACAAAGTCAGTCACTGCATTCGCTAATTCGCGCGCTTTCCGATGTGCTTCTGCAGCCATCTGGATCGCTCTTCCTTTCCAAAATTAGAAGGCCACGGGAGCTATGCACTTTTAAATTTAGATTGGAAACTCATTTCTTTAGAACTGCTTTTTTGCGTTTAGGTTGTTGTCGTTCCCTGCACCTCCGATTAGCGCAGATGGCTATTAACGTGCGAAAGAAGCCCAACTCAACATGCGTGCAATGTGCCACTAAGGAGAGTGGAATTCTGGCTGTTTCTTGATGAGGTTCGTTGTAATTACCGGCGAAACACAGTACTCGAATGATAAATGTCGTGGTTTTACTCTCCAAAACACTGGTGTGCTGAACTAGTAACCAACTGGCATGTTTTTTTTTTATGTAAACAAACTTTACTAATTGGCTGTGTCAGGTGGTGGCGGGTTTAACGACACATTTTATATTTACGCGATTTAACCCAAAAAAAACCCTGTATTATGTATGGGGCAGATGAGTTGTTGCGCACGAGAGAGGTAGTGGGGTTGGGGATAGTAGGAGTAGGGGCGGGTCGCTTTCATGAAGATCAAAATCCCTCTAACACACAAAAAAAACCTACTACTATAATCACCCAGGAATGTCTGTCCTTAACGCTCATGACGTCACTCCACATCGACCAGCCCCCTCATTAATATTCATGAGCAGGTGACGTCCTCCGAATGGACACCCCCCCCACCCCTCCTCATTAATAATCATGCGCAAGTGACGTCACTCCACATCCAGCAGCCCCCCTAATTAATAATCATGAGCAGGTGACGTTTTCCAAATGGACACCTACTATAATGAGCCTATAATGTCTGTGCGCAACGATCGTGACGTCACTCCACGTCGACCAGCCCCCTCATTAATAATCCTGAATGGGTTACGTCCTCCACATGGACCCCCCCCCCCCCCTCATTAATAATCATGAGCAGGTGACGTCACTCCACATAGAACAGCCAACCCTCATTGATAATCATTATAAGGTGACGTCCTCAAAATGTACACCCCCCCCCCCATTCATATTAATTAGCGGCTGACGTCACTCCACATTGGGGGGGGGCGAGGCGCCTCCTCCCCCCTCCTCAGCGTCAACTCACAACCCTCACTACGAAGGCAAGAACCCTCACGTCACGTGATCTCCGTGACGCTGTTGAGACATCAAAGTAAAAAGTAAGTCATGATGAACAAGGGATTATAACCTTAAAATGAAATAGGTCTGTGTCACCGCGCCCTTACAAATTGCACACGCATTAATGCAATGAATATCATGTCGCGATCTGATTTTCGCTTGCAAGTTTCAGATTTACTGCAATACACCCGTCCTTGGACGGGCAAAAGGCTAGTGGATAATATTTGTCACGAAAGCCTACGTGTTGAAGAGAACTTGGGTGGACCAAAGGGACAACTGGTGGTGCAGGACCCACCAAAGACACCCCCTCGTGCCAGCCCTGTCTACAACCATTCATTTTGCATGCCTTGTGAATTCAGATGATGGGTAATGTATTTCATTTGGCAGACACTGCTTTACAGGAGGGTGTCACGAGAAGATACGACAACATTTGCATACGAACCTCGAGGCTGTATCACTTTGTTAAACGAGTTAATTTCTCAAGACTCCATTTGATTAAAAAAGGGGAAAGAACGGCTCACAGCACGTAACATCAAGGGAATATATTCCATATTTGATGAATGCAATAATTAAATGCTTATCGATATCCGGATCATGGAAGTGTTTCCATTGCTTCCAAATTATTTGAACGTAATTAAAAGACACGAAGATGCATTCATCAAAGATCACTGACATTCTAATTATCCAAAGTCCAACAAGTCGTACCTTGCACGCCCTTGCCGCGGTCATTAGCCACATCCTTGGGAAGGCACCCTGGCCTCGGGCAATCATCCGTCCTGCTGGCAAGTGGAGACGCGGGGATGGTAACCGGGAGGGTGCTGCACGCACAAGGAAGCGCAACAGACAGCTCCCCTCCATGGGCACACTGAAGACGTGGCCCCAATACCACACATCCGAAGCTTCCACTCTCCAGCCACGAGCACAGGACCCCACATCCCCCAGCTGAAGTGACGGAACCCAGCACATTGTCAAGCAGCAGGAAATCAACCGATAATTCCGAGTCGCCGCCCGCGGGGCCAAGACGCTGGTCCTCGCGGCCGCTAATCCTGGAGATCTGAACCTCTACGTCGTCAGCGTTGGAGCGCAGCAGCAGCAGCGGCGAGAGAGCGTTCGTGGCCGGCGAGCACGGCTGCAGCACCTCCCCGCCGGCGCCCGGTGCGGTCCAGGCGGAAGATGTCCCATTGCCGGCGGGCAAATGCAGGTCGAAGCTGCGGACCGCGACACGGTAATCCCGGCAGCTCTCTTCGTCGGTGGCGGCGATCTTCAGGAAGACCGAATACTTGGTGGGATCCGGGTTGTGCACGATCCACGTGCAGCTCCCATCGCCGCCCCGCGTGCCAATCTCACGCGAGCCGAATGAGCCACGCAGCACCTCGCCGATGGTCGAGGAGCACGGAAGGGCCGAGGTCGCCGTGCTGGAAGCGCGAAGGAGAGCGGTGAGGAGGAGGAGGCCGGACAGCAGCGCGTGCAGGGCCGCCCAAGGAGGACCAAGCCAGGCGGGGCTCATGCTTGGTCATCGCAACCTGGTGGATCAGAAGAGAGGGGGGGGGGGATATGAGTGATGACAAGTGCTCATGGGCAGCAAAACAGCACCGGAAATAACGTCTACATGTGACAAACACCTGTCTGGGTTTGACCGAGACAGGTGTTTTGGCAATTGACAGGTTTGTTCGGGTGGCAGGAAATTGATTTCTACCAAGATACGGTGATATTGTGTTGAACTCTATTGTAGGATACTGCACAGTTTTGATATACCTAAGCTGATTGAGAAATATGCCTGGGTTTGATCTCCTAGGCTGATTGAGAAATATGCCTGGGATTGATCTCCGAGAAAAAGTGGCAACCCGAGGCTGGAGTATGTTAAATGTAAGCAATACAAACTGGTGAGCATGGCTTACCAAATTAAAACCAGGTCTTATTTAGTTATCACACTGATAGCTAACAATAGTCGTCTTGTAAACATACTATCCCCTGGTGTGGATACATGGGAATATATTCATGCCCTCGTACCTAGATCAGCATGGTGCTCAACTTTGTTAGTAGTTCTGAGCCAATGCTGAAAAATTCCACGTTCCTATGGCAGTGAATACAATTTTATTCCCTGTATTACAACCTCTGTGGTTTTCGACATACTGGAGGTGGATTTTACACGTTGGGTGATGATGCCAACATGCATTGGTATGATGTCAAAATGCATTGGTGTGCATGTGCGTCTGATGAAAATATGAGGTTTTTCTGCATTCTTCACAACACACTCCAACCAAGTTGCCCTTAATGCACCAAATCTCATCTGAGCACAGAGGTCTTAGCAGAATTGTGCCTGATTAGTAGTTGGATGGGAGACTGCTTTGGACTAGCATGTGTTCTAAAACTATTATTACTATTTTTATTTGACCAGACAAGGCCCACTGAGCTGTATAGCTCTTTTTCAGGAGCAACCTGGCCACAAATGATAGCTTAACAAAGTGTCTTATCACTTGGAAATATATAGCAGCCAAATACTCTAAACGCACGTTGATTCTAAACGTGAAGGGAAAAACCCGAGAACCTGGAGAGAAATCCACACAACCACGGGAAGAACATGCGAACTCCAAATATATAGGCATCAGGGTCGGGATCGAATCCGTGCCCTGTACACCCGGCGAGGTAGTTAACATCTCACCACTGTTCTTTTAAAGATAACCATTGCAAGATAAAACGTCTCGAAAAAGTCGAGAGGGCACAGATTTAAAATGAGATGACCACCGTGCAGGCCGGCTGCAAATGTAGGCAACAAATTTTGTTTAGTTACCGATCTAAATCACGACCAAGCACATGCAGGAGACTCAATACGGTATCGATCTAGCCGAGCACAGTCCATTTAAAATGAACTGCAACTACAGATGCTGCACATAATCCCTCTTTGTTGTCGGTATTATATTGTCCTACAATACTCAGCACTGAAAAAAATGAGCTTAACCTGCGTCCTCCCGAACGCTGGGCGGAGTTAAACACCCTCTTTTAGCAAAAGTATGTTTTGGGACTCGATGTCCAATGATGCATTGTGCTCTCGTTCTGTGTGTTGCACTTCTTCCGTGCAGTACGTAGCCAACCGCGCTAATCGGAGGTGCGAACGTACAGTGCGCATCACTGAAAATGTTTCTGTTGCGAAAAATGAATCTTTGTTGGGAAAATTCACACTCTTAAATGATATTTGGGCACCGCTCAGCTGATTTAGAGGCCTTGAGCCAGTGATGTGGGGACCAAATTTCAACGGAGGTCAACCACTGTTGGCTTTCCTACAATGCGGTACCCATGGTCTTGGCTCAGCAAAGATGATGGGTTCAATTGGCTCCCAACTGGGATTTTAACCCAAGAACTCCGGGTGCTCTGCCTCAGTGCCACCCAGTTGGTGAACTAAAGCAGAATACTAATCACAGTTGGTTTTCAGAGCATGACCACGCTATGGCAGATGATTTGAGCTTGTTATGAAAGCATAGCTTGTATCGTTAATTTAATTTACTCCCTTGCTAATGTATATTACATCTTAGCTTTTATATTCCTCGTATGAATGCAACTTAGGGCTCTTGACCAATACAATTAATATAAAATTTAATGTCTAAATATAATCTAGATTTTCGTGGCTCATGCTAATTTCTAAACTTTAAAATTAATGGCTCTTTCAGCTGCACCTCGCGTAACGCGCATTACCTTTTTCGTCACTAAAACAAGTATCGTGGCTGAATATTCTACATCCGGTCATGGCTATTCATGCATATAATCGGTCAGGTCTGGTCATTTAAATGTATCAAGCATTTTGTTGATTTGGCCGTTTTCACAGAACGTGCATACATCACCGGCGTCGCCAAGCTTTAGTCACGGTTTCAATGCATGCAATTAACCCCCGAAGGGCATCAACCGGGATTCTATTGCATCACTCACCATTATGCGGGCGCCGCAGAAACTATTCATTATTCACATAATTGTGCAACTTGCGGAGTTTGGGTTCACAATTGTGGCCCCCACCAGGAGAAACGCGTGCCCCGAATATATCCCCGAATAAAAATATGGGTTTCATGGAAGAACCCCGAACGTCGAACACAAGGGATTGACAGCAGTGGCACAAAGACGTAGGCAAGTTGCTTCCATCTTGGGAACCCCCTAAGAATTTAAACAAACCCCATGAAACCCATGGCTCATAAACCCACGTGGAACAGTGCGTACAGCGAGCAACACAAGCGTGGAGTCGTGCACAGCTTCCCTAAGTAAGGAGCTTTGTCTACTTCTGTGAGAGAGCTTTGATGGGCATTCGTTAAAGCTACAGTTCATTATATGGCGTGAATAACACCATCGTCTATTTGTGGAACAAATATGTTGCAAACGTGATGACCTACGATAATGTCTAAAATGAAGTCTGACGTGATATCTCCACCCGTAAAATATGACAATCACATAAAGAGTACCGTACTGTACAATAGTTTAAAGTTGACCTATTTTACCAATCCTGGCACTGCCACTATTCAAACACTGCTCGGCTCACAATCAGAAGGCTGCGACATTAAATCCCAGCCAGGGGTCAGGTCAAAACTAATACCACCTTGTGATAAGTCAGCAGTGATTGTTGTATAGAGAGAATGGTACCCCCACCATGAGAATGCATAATAATTATCACTACTGGTTCAGAGTGGTCAACGGATACGATTCTCACCTCAATGCTTGTTTAAGCAGAGAGAACGTGTGCCTTTCACTTGACATTGGTTTTACGAGGTGCACTTCTTGATACTACATTAATATCCATCCATTTAATAATTGGATAAAACAAATTATACGGAATTACGTTTTGGATTGAACATTTGCCCCTAATTAAAACGCTCTCTCTATCTCAGCAAACTGTGAAAGGGTCTTCATAAAGACACTAGTTTAATGTGATGAAACACACACACACGTGCTCTCTCTTCGAATTAATCGGATAGAAAACTACTCCACTGATGCTGTGACGTTCGAGGCTTGCCGGTCATTTCGTCTTCAAAGCACGTGTGCGTAGTAATGTATGCGGTATTCTTCTCCCCGAATTTATGGTAATAAGCCTTGCAGAAAAAAAATAAACTCGCAAACGTCCAAATTTGTTTTACTCGTGGTGATGTTCAGCTGGAATCCAGAACATCCACGCTAAGTTAAAGTGACTGAATTGGAATGCAATACATTGAAGCTGACGTTAACGTGCTGTCAATTGTTAAGTGCCCTTAACGTCTGTCGAACTTTAGAATTCCTGAATAAAAAGCATGGCTTGCATGAAAAAAACGGGGAAGTGTTCAAAGCAGCATGGGTGAATTAAATGTTCATTTTACAACAACAACAACAACAACAAAACTCACACTACTCAGCAACACTGCCTTAAAAAATAAACAATTCGGCAGCGTTTCAGGCAATGGCCCTCTTCATCGCACATGAAGAAGGATCATTTGCCTGAAAGATTGCCGATTGTTATTTTTTCATCTTCTAAGGCGGTGCTGTTGACGAGCGTGGCACAAACTGCTCATTGTGCTTACTCACCACTTCCCGCTCAGCATCACCAAATCATTCGTCACATTTTCGTATTCAGTTTGACCTCCAACAATGTAGATGATACTTACTCAAGTTTCGAGTGGAGCCTCGTTAGAATGACTGCACTGTGGTACGGGGGGATATCCTCCACTGCTGGACCGCATTAATGTATTTTTTTTCCTTTTCACAAATAAATGCCTTATTATTATTCCCTGCTTCCAATCTCTGTGCCCATTGTGATTCTCCACAGCAGAATTTCATTACACGTGAATAAAAATGGGATCCACGCGTTGTGTGTGAAGATGTACACAATCATGCATACGCGTGAAAAGGTAAACTGTATACCGTATACACATGCATCACACAGAATAGTCTGACTGTCGGGGCAATGCTGTTAGATAGCAGCACTTAACAGGGTCCATGCACACCGCATGAAGGGGTGGTACGGCAAGCTCCACACACGACCACCTTTGTCTCCAGAGCTCCAATGGTGTACCTGCATCATGGTATTCATTGAAGGCCCAGGAGAGGTTCTGAGAGCATTTGCCACTGATATTAGCCATGTCCGGAAATTAAACTCAGGTGGTCGGGTTTGCAGTTCCGCACGCACTGCTCCCCACACATAGACACACGTACACTGACGTACCAAGTGACCTAAGCCGAAAATGTGTGCCTTTTGTGTTTGCGTCAATTTTAGGCCTGGGGAGACAAAGGTGGCGACATTTCAGATGTGCAAAAAGTGCACAAATTCATCGATTTGCGTCGATTATAGAATTCGTAATACGTGCATCAAATCACACGCCGGTGGGTGTTTACGCACCGCACCAGCTGCTCATTTTTAGGCCGAGTTGACGTAGATGAGGCATAGGACACATTCCGATATCACCAGACAAGAGATATGAGCGATCGCTGGCAATATAACTCAGGTGGCCCGTGTTCGTATCACCCTCGGCGTTGGGTACATTGCCGTGGGTGTGAACACGACCGCATCCTACAAGCA